TGTTCAATATCTTTATCAATGATCATAGAATCGTAGAATATTAGGTTTCGAAGAAACCTCAGGAGGTCATCCAGTCTTTGGAACCCCCTTTCAGGTAGTTGAAAGCAGCTATCAAATCCCCCCCCTCATTCTTCTCTTCTGCAGACTAAACAATCCCAGTTCCCTCAGCCTCTCCTCATAAATCATGTGTTCCAGCCCCTTAATCATTTTTGTTGCCCTCTGCTGGACTCTTGTAGTGTGGGGCCCAAAACTGGACACAGTACTCCAGATGAGGCTTCACCAATGCCGAACAGAGGGAAGGAATCACTTCCCTTGATCTGCTGGCAATGCCCCTACTTATACAGCCCAAAATGCCGTTAGCCTTTTCGGCAACAAGGGTGCACTGGATCTGGTCTGGATGATGGGATTAATGGCACCCTCAGCAAGGTTGCAGATGACACTAAGCTGTGGGGAGAGGTAGATATGGTGGAGGTTCGGGATAGGGTCCAGAGTGACCTAGACAAATTGGAGGATTGGGCCAAAAGAAATCTGATGAGGTTCAACAAGGACAAGTGCAGAGTCCTGCACTTAGGAAAGAAGAATCCCATGCACTGCTATAGGCTGGGGACCGACTGGCTAAGCAGCAGTTCTACAGAAAAGGACCTGGGGATTACAGTGGAAAAGAAGCTGGATATGAGTCAGCATTGTGCACTCCTTGCCAAGAAGGTGTCAGAGAAATGGGACACTGAGGAAGGAAACTGGAATCATGCTTGCTGGAAGTTCACCCCAATGAACATTGAATTGTTTGCACCATCGGACTTCAGGTATTGTTGCTCTCTGTTCATGGGAGAAGGACCAGGGAAGTGAGGGGGTGAAGGAGTAAGACCTCTAACAGGGGGTTCCAAAGAGGATGGAGTTAGGCTGTTTTCAGTGGTGGCAGATGACAGAACAAGAAGCAATGGTTTCAAGTTGCAGTGGGGGAGGTCTAGGTTGGATTTTAGGAAGCACTATTTCACTAGGAGGGTGGTGAAGCACTGGAATGGGTTACCTAGGGAGGTGGTAGAATCTCCATCCTTAGAGATTTTTAAGGTCTGGCTTGACAAAGCCTTGGCTTAACAAAGCCTTGGCTGGGATGATTTAGTTGGTGTTGGTCCTGGTTTGAGCAGGGGATTGGACTAGATGACCTCCTGATGTCCCTTCCAACCCTGATATTCTATGATTCTAAATACAGATATTGGCTGCAGTTACAAGAATTCTGAACAGGTGACAAACTTTGTGTCATATCATCAATTTGGGATATTTTCCATAGACTGGAACCATTGGTGGAGAACACAAGAAACACAGACCACAGGGTTCTATGGTTATATCACAAACGGAATAGCCTTCTGGCAGTGTCAAAAGGCATCAGAATATAGTTTCCAGAAATACATGTGAAAGAAAGGGGGAAACATTATAGTATGACTTAATATTAGACTGTCTTTTGACAGGGACAGTTAGTCACTTTTTTCCTGGTTGGTTTTCCTGCAGATAAAGTAGATTTACACATAGTGGATGAACAGTCAGAACCAGAGACCATTGTAAATCCCCATTTAGAAGTGACATTTTTCAGATTGGGTGTCTTCAGTTTTTTGGAAAATTCCTTAAAAAATAAAGGTTTTGAAATTTTCCACATGAGGGTGTATGGGTGGAATCATCCACCATTTCTGCTAAACAGATCCCTGCTGTGCTTAATTTGTGCTAAGGCTTTCCAGGGCTGGGCCCCTGCATCTCTAGGCTTGCCAGTTCATAGCCATGACACCTCTGGGCTTGCTGCATCAGTTATGAATGTAAAAAAATTGTTTGATCCCCGACACCTCTTTCATTACAAATTAAGCATTGGATCCCCACTTTTGTTTCATTTGAGAAATAGAGACATTTCCCCATTATTGGAACAATTAATTGGGAATCTAATAAATACATATTGGAAAGTTTTTGTGGTATATCACAAATAATTAGGCATGGAAGGACTTGATTTTTATCTGTAAATACCCACAAACATTGATTTCACCATACACACACAAACAGACAAATATTTCCATTGCTAAAAATTGAAATTTACTGATAGGAAAGAGAAAATGCTTCCTGACCTCTTTGAGTTTTATTTAAGGATATTTACTTTGTATATTTTCACATGTGATCTTGACCATTCCTGTTTTAACAGTTATACAGCTTAAATGTTTTAAATCTCAATATATAATGTAATTTTAAAAAATTGTCTGACCCCCCCCATACAACTGTGATAATATAAATAGATAAAAAATAAAAAAGGCTTAAAATACATATTTTTGTGCCATGTGTACATTTAAATTTAAATTAGGGGGGAAGTCTTAAAATCATGGATATCATCCAACAAAATTATTTTTAAAAATTGATTTTTGCCAACCCTAAACATAAGCTAATAAGAGTTCAGACAATATTTGAATAATTATTTAAAACAAAACACAAGAGGAAAAAAGAACAAAGGATGTCATTATTTCATAATACGCATTGAAAGCAATGTGAACTCTTCCCTCCATTTCGGTCAGCATTGAATTTATTTGTCAAATCTTGTTTGGATACCCCGAAACTCAATGCAGGCTTAACATCAATAAATCTATAAAGATAGAAAATGGGATTTTCACGGCAGTTTAGGAAATTTAGTTACCCTAGCACCCACTGACTTTCAATGGGAGTTTGATGTATAATTGTCAAATCCCACCTACAAAAATCTCACTCATTCACACCGTAGCTACCCAGTCTTCCTTCTTCTCATTGCAATAGGATAACCACTGTTGCCAGTGTCAGAGAAACAGAAATAACATTGGGAATAAAAATTAATGAAGTTGTGACAATTTACACCAGCTGAGAATATGGCCCTATTGACATGAATACATTTAAATCAATGCAACTTAATGGAATATAGAACTCTAAAAAATCCTCACTATCTTCTTGCTATAATGCAGGATGCCTTGGCTGACAGGAACCTGGGACACCTAGATAGTTCATTTGTGACCAGTGAATAGATTTATTGCCATTTCAATCACCCTGTCTGAACACCTTACCTTTCCGGAGAGCTCGTCTCAGGGCCTCCTTGACATCTTTGTTTCTCAGGCTGTAGATGAGGGGATTGATCAGGGGTGTCAAGACAGTGTAAAGGATAGAAAAAATTTTGTTCAGGGCTCTCAGTGAACCAGTGTTGGGTAATATATAAACAATCATTAGGGTGCCATAGAAAACTGTAACCACGATAAGGTGGGAGGAGCAGGTGGAAAATGCCTTTTGCCTCCCAGTGGCGGAAGGGATTCTCAGGATGGTGGAGATTATATAAACATAAGATGTCAGGGTCAAAATAAATGGGGAAACAATGTCTATGGAGGAGAATATGAGAGTCGCCAGGGTAACCATATTGGTGTCACTGCAGGAGAGTTTAATCATGGGGGTGAAATCACAAAAGAAATGATCAATTTCATTGGGGCCACAGAAGACTAATTGTGACACCAAACATATTAATATGGTAAGAACTATGAATGAACTTAGCCATGATCCAGCTGCTAGCTGCATACAAAACCTATCATTCATAAGGGCTGCATAGTGCAAAGGTTTACATATCGCTAAGTATCGATCATAAGACATCAAAGCTAGCAGATAACACTCAACAGTCACTAAAACACCAAACCAATAAAATTGTACAATGCAGCCTGTCACAGAAATGGTCTTGTCTCCAGTCAGGAAATTGGCCAGCATCCTGGGCAGTATGGTGGAGGTGTAGCAGATTTCCACACAGGACAAATTCCCCAGAAAGAAGTACATGGGGGTGTGAAGGTGCTGATCAGCCACAACTAGCGCAACAATGAGCATATTTGCGGTCATGGTGACTATGTAGATCACTAGAAACAGCAAGAAGAAAAGAATTTGCAGTGCAGGGAGATTCCCGAATCCCAGCAGGATGAATTCTGTGATAGATGTTTCATTTTCCCCTTCTGCTTTCTCCATTCTCCATGTGATGCAACTAGTGATTGAGAAAAAGTAATGATCAGTTAAGGAATTTGCTGCACAATTAAACTCAGTGCACTTCCCTCCATTTGATACCATACACATTCAAAGTGAAGGTTTATATTCTCTCTCAAATGAGCATCTGCTTTGTACCCAGATGTTTCTTTCATAGGGTACTGGGATGCAGAAACCCAACAGCCCACCCAAAGAGCAGGGCCACAGTTAATATATTCTTTTTCTATACCTGCCCCCACATTTATTCATGCATTCATTCATAGATTTAAAGGCCACAAGATGATTACATCATCTCATCTGCTACAACAAATGCCAAAGAATTTCCAGAATTATCCCTGCATTGAGCTTAATAAATTGTGTCTGGCTAAAACATGTTTTCAGAAATACACCCAAGGCCAGATTTTCAACATCTTTAGGTGAGTAGTGGGATTTTCAAAACACCCAGGCAACAACAGTGCATTTACTTAAATGGGTCTTAAGCAACTAAATGCTTTTAAAATCCCATGAAGTGACTAAATACCTTTAAAAATCCATCTTGCTCTTGGCTATACAAGAACGCTGTGATAGAGCACCGAATAGAAACCAAGTCTCCCAAATGACAGGCTAGTGCCATAATCATAGGACTATCCTTCCACTTGAAATATAAGATGGAGCATTAAATGGTCAGAGAAAGTTTGCCCCACTGGTGCCACTGCTTCCTTATCTGTAAGAATTTCCAGTCTCCATTCAGTGCAATTCCAACATACAGATCTGTCCTGCATGGTGCTCAGAACCTTCCAAGAAATGCTAAGGGTCCCTCAACTTCCTCTGAAATTGAGAAAGAAGATACTCAGTGGGAGACCTGTAGCATCTCACAGGATTGAGTTGGAAAGCTGCATAGAAAACTGTGCCCAGGAAAGTCTGGGTAGGTGGATGATAACCCACTGGAAAACTGTAGGGAAATGTCCCTGAGAAAGTAATGAGATGTCCAGGAGAGAGAGATGGACAGAGAGCAGGAGAGTGAGGGACATACAGATAGAGGGAAACAGAAGGTGATTGATGGATAGACAAAAGGGTGTTTATGGGAATAGACAGATTTAAGGAGATAGGTAGAAAGATGTGTAAGGCGCTCACCAGAGATATAAATAGATGTATAAGGGGAAAGATAGAGACAGATGTGTAAGGATAGGGTGACCAGATGTCCTGATTTTATAGGGACGGTCCTGATTTTTGGGTCTTTCTTATATAGGTTCCTATTTTCCCCCCACCCCATCCTGATTTTTCACACTTGCTGTCTGGTCACTCCATGCAAGGGGAAAGATGGAGGAGCAGATTGAGTAAGAGGAATAGATGGAGTTTTATGGAATAGATACATGTATTTTTAAGGGGCTCAATAGAGGGATGGACATAAAAGGAAGTATAAGGGGCTTAACAGAGAGATAGGCATGTGCAGGGTGGGGGGAGGTAGATACATCTCCATTGTGTTTCATCAGTTTCCCTAGCAATAAATCATGGTATGATTCTAAAATCCTTACTCAGGCAAAGCTCCCATTAAGTGAGGACACTGTCTAACAAGCATGTCTTTCCAAGGAAGGGAGTCTGAGTCAGAGTTTGAAGATTTGCCCCAACACTGGTCACACTCACCTTTAATCCTCAGCATGAAGCCGTGACCTCTCCATCGACAGTGACTGGGTCTGGTCTCGCAGTCAGTCTTGTCCTCTCAGTTTCCTGGGGAGACACCTACATGTTGCTGTTGGGATGGGCCTCTCTCCTGCTGCCCAGCTTGATTGTTTGCATGACACAAACCATTATTTGACTCCTGCTCTGGATTCTCGCAGCATTTATTGGAGAAAGCAGCCTCCCCTGCTCAACTCTGCTACTAAGATCTCCCTTGGGCCTGCTACCGGTGATCACTTATTATGTTCATAAGGCAATTAACAGAAAGTTTTTTGTCAAAATAATACAACACCAAAGCTAATGGCATTGACATTGGGTGGAGATGTCCCCCAGGGATGAATTTATTAAAGGAAGACACAATATCCTAGCAAAGAGAATAGGTAAAGTAGAGGTAGGCACTAGTGAGGAACAGTGAAATGTAATAGACTCCCATTTAAATATAACACATGAAGACAAGCAACTGCATATTGACAAAATGTGCAAGTGCTTCTTCATAAAGGCTAGAAGTCTAAATACTAAAAGGATGAACTAGAATACCTGGCATTAAATGAGGATATTGATATAATAGGCATCATGTTGTTGGTGGAAAGTTATTGGAATGAGGATAATCAATGGGACACAGTAATAACAGGGTATAAAATATTTAGGAATGGCAGTGTATGTTGCACTGGGATGGGGACTGGCATTATATCTTTTAAAAAACAGAGTCAAATAAGGTGAACATTTTGAATGAATCAAACTGTACCATAGAATCTCTATGGATAGAAATTCTGTGCTTCAACAATAAGTAAAGTAGTGGGAATACACTACTGACCACCAGACCAGGATGGTGACAGCAGGGCCGGCACTTCCACTAGGTGATACTAGGCGGTCGCCTAGGGTGGCAGGATTTGGGGGGTGGCATTTTGCCACCCTCGGCAGAAATTCGCCAGCGGGGGGTCCTTCCGCTCTGGGTCTTCGGCAGAAATTCGGTGGCGTGTCCTTCACTCGCTCCAGGACCCACTGCCAAAGTGCCCCGAAGACGTGGATCAGAAAGACCCCCACCACCAAATGCTCAGAAGAGGAGCACTGCCACCTAGGGCGGCAAAAACCCTGGCGCTGCTCCTGGGTGACAGTGATTGTGAAATGTAAAGAGAGGGTAGAGAGGCTACAAAATCAGAAGTACAAATGCCTGCATGGGGACTATTTAAAAATGCCACAATATAGGCTCAGCCTAAATATAAATCCCAAATCAGAAAAGTCAATGAAAGGACGAAAAAAAATCCCACCATGGCTAGAAGGCAGAGTAATGGAGGCCATTAGAGACAAAAAGGCATCCTATAAGATTTGGAAAGCCAATCCTAGTAAGACTAGCAGGAAGCTATACAAATTCTAGCAGGCTGAATCTAAAAGTATTACAAGTCAGGCCATTACAGGATTTGAGAAGCAACTTGTTAAAGATGGAAAAACAAACAATATTTTTTTTAAGTAGACCAGAAGCAGGAAGCCTGCCAAACAGGCAGTGAGACCACTACATGACCAAGGTATTAAAGGAGCCCTCAAGGAAGACGAGACCATTGGAGAGAAGCTCAATGAATTATTTACATCCATCTTCATTGCAGACGACGTGGGGGAGATACTCACATAACAGCTATTCTTTTTGGGTAACAAATTTGAAGTAAGATTCCACACTGATGTGTCAATGGAAGAAGTTTTGAGAACAAATTAATAAATTAAACAGTAATAAGTCACCAAGACCAGATTGTATTCACCCAAGAGTTCTGAAGGACCTCAGATATGAAACTGCAGATCTACTAACTGGGTAAATAACTTGTCACTGAAACCATCCTCTGTACAAGATGACTGGAAGGTAAGTAATGTAACACCATTTTTTATAAAAGGGATCCAACATTCTGGTGACATGGTCTGTCAATCTCATCTGTGATTTCATCAACAGAGTATGGATGCTTGGAATGCCTGCCCATATGAGACCCTCAGTATCTGAGGGTTCCAAAGAGGATGGAGCTCAGCTGTTTTTAGTGGTGGCAGATGGCAGAACAAGGAACAATGGTCTCAAGTTGAAGTGGGGGAGGTCTAGGTTGGATATTAGAAAACTATTTCACTAGGAGGGTGGTGAAGCACTGGAATGGTGACCAGCCCTCTGTGGAGAAAGAAGTGATTCAGGACTATTTAGAAAAGCTGGAGGAGCACAAGTCCAGATGCATTGCATCCGAGGATGCTAAAGGAGTTGGTGGATGTGATTGCAGAGCCATTGGCCATTAGCTTTGAAAACTCATGGTGATCAAGGGAGGTCCCGGATGACTGGAAAAAGGCTAATGTAGTGCCCATCTTTAAAAAAGGGAAGAAGGAGGATCTGGGGAACTACAGGCCAGTCAGCCTCACCTCAGTCCCTGGAAAAATCATGGATCAGGTCCTCAAGGAATCAATTCTGAAGCACTTAGAGGAGAGTAAACTGATCAGGAACAGTCAGCATGGATTCACCAAGGGCAAGTCATGCCTGACTAACCTAATTGCCTTCTATGAGGAGATAACTGGCTCTGTGGATGAGGAGAAAGCAGTGGATGTGTTATTCCTTGACTTTAGCAAAGCTTTTCATACGGTCTCCCACAGTGTTCTTGCCAGCAAGTTAAAGAAGTATGGGCTGGATGAATGGACTATAAGGTGGATAGAAAGCTGGCTAGATCATTGGGCTCAATGGGCAGTGATCAATGGCTCCATGTTTGGTTGGCAGCCGATATCAAGCGGAGTGCTCCAAGGGTCGGTCCTGGGGCCTGTTTTGTTCAATATCTACATTAATGATCTAGAAGATGGCGTGGACTGCACCCTCATCAAGTTCGCAGATGATACTAAACTGGGAGGAGTGGTAGACACCCTGGAGGGTAGGGATAGGATACAGAGGGACCTAGACAAATTAGAGGATTGGGCCAAAAGAAATCTGATAAGGTTCAATAAGGACAAGTGCAGAGTCCTGCACTTAGGACAGAAGAATCCATGCACTGCTACAGACTAGGGACCGAATGGCTAGGCAGCAATTCTGCAGAAAAGGACCTAGGGGTTACAATGGATGAGAAGCTGGATATGAGTCAACAGTGTGCCCTTGTTGCCAAGAACGTTAACATCATTTTGGGCTATATAAGTAGGGGCATAGCCAGCAGATTGAGGGACGTGATCATTCCCCTCTATTCGACATTAGTGAGGCCTCATCTGGAGTACTATATCCAGTTTTGGGCCCCACACTACAAGAAGGATGTGGAAAAATTGTAAAGAGTCCAGCGGAGGGCAACAAAAATGATTAGGGAGCTGGAGCACATGACTTATGAGGAGCAGCTGTGGGAACTGGGATTGTTTAGTCTGCAGAAGAGAAGAATGAGGGGGGATTTGATAGCTGCTTTCAACTACCTGAAAGGGAATTCCGAAGAGGATGGATTTAGACTGTTCTCAGTGGTAGCAGATGACAGAACAAGGAGTAATGGTCTCAAGTTGCAGTGGGGGAGGTTTAGGTTGGATATTAGGAAAAAACTTTTTCACTAGGAGAGTGGTGAAGCACTGGAATGGGTTACCTAGGGAGGTGATGGAATCTCCTTCCTTAGAGGTTTTTATGGTCAGGCTTGACACAGCCCTGGCTGGGATGATTTAATTGGGGTTGGTTCTGATTTGAGCAGGGGTTTGACTAGATGACCTCCTGAGGGCTCTTCCAAATCTAATCTTCTATGAGTCTATGATCTGGAATCTTGACTTGCCAGCTTATCCTCATCAGTTTCCTCAAACAGCCCATGTGAAAGTTATTCAGCTTCACAGCATGGTGCCTATACACCGTCCAGGTTTCACATGCATACATCAAAGTTGGAAACACGATGGCTTTGTAGACCTTTAGTTTTGTTTGTTAACTAATGCCTCTGCATTCCCACATATTTGCACATAGTCTACCAAAGGCCACACTTGCTTTGGCAATTCTGGATTTGGTTTTATCATTGATGTGAACCACACATGACAGTGTACTGCTGAGGTAGGTGAACTTGTCCACTGCCTGGAGGGTTTGGCCATTCACTGTGACAGTAGATTCTATGTCAGGCTTTCCTGGTTCAGGCTGGTACATAACTTCTGCCTCATTGATGTTGACTGTGAGACCAAAATTGTCACAAGCTGAAGAGAAATATTCCATACTCCGCTGCGTGTCAGACTGAGATTTGGCATTCAGAGGACAGTCATCAACAAACTGAAGATCATGACCAGACACTTCTTGTACCTTTGTCTTTGCCTGTAGTCTCCTTAGGTTGAAGAGCTTGCCATCAGTCCAGTATCGGATGCCAATCCCAGTGTCCATCACAAAAGGCATCTGTAAGCATGGCAGAAAACATCATACTGAAGGCAGTTGGGGAAAACAGAGCCCTGCTTGACTCCATTGGTGATTGGGAATGGTTCAGATAACTCACCATCATCCATAATGTGAACGAGCATGCCATCATGGAATTAGCAATCCATTGAGATGCATTTCTCCAGGCAACTGAATTTTGCCATGGTCTTCCAAAGGCCCTTCCAACTGACTGTATCAAAAGCTTTTGTCAGGTCAATTAAAGTCATATACAGGTTGGAGTCCTGTTCCTGGCATTTCTCCTGTAGTTGACAAACAGCAAACACCATGTCTATGGTCCCATGTACTTTCCTGAAGCCACACTGACTGTCAGGCAGGAGCCTTTGTTCAATATGTTGCACAAGACAATTCAGCAGAATTTTGGATAGAGTTTTGCCAGCTATTGACAACAGGAGATGCCCTGAAAGTTGTTGCAGGAGTGTATGTTACCTTTCTGCTTGTACAAGTGGACGATGGATGCATCCTTGTACTCCTGGGGTATAGTTCCCTGAGTCCACATTGACTGTAAAAAATCAGTTAGTTTCAGAGCCATGTGCAAGCCTCCGACTTTTACACTTATGTTGGAATAGCATCTGCTCAAGGTGCTTTGCCATTTGAGAGCAAGTCAATCTATTTTTCAGTTTGTCAGCGTTGGGGGATCAGCAAGATATATGGTGATATCAATCTGGGGCAGTTGACCAATGGCCTCCTCATTAATATGATTGTTGATTGAGGATGTTAAAGTGTTCTGCCCACCATTGCAGTTTCTTTTCTTTGTGAATGAACAATATGGTGCCATTGGCACTCAGTATTGGAGATGTTTCAGATGACCATGGCCCATAGACTGTCCTTGGAGCATCACTGAAATTCTTCATATCATTCCTGTCTGCATAGGACTGAATCTCATCTGCCTTGTTGCTCATCCATGAGTTTTGCATCTCTCTAAGTATGCGTTGGACAGTCTTTTGATGTTGTTGAAGGCTGCCTTCTTAGATGTTGAAGTGCTGTCTCCTAAATAGGACTTATGGAGCCGATATTTCTCATTCAATAGTCTCTCTATGTCAATATTGTTTTCATCGTTACTCCATCCTTAGAGCTTTTTAAGGCCTGGCTTGACAAAACCTTGGCTGGGATGATTTAGTTGGTGTTGTCAAATACCAGAGGGGTAGCTGTGTTAGTCTGAATCTGTAAAAAGCGACAGAGGGTACTGTGGCACCTTTACAACTAACAGAAGTATTGGCACATAAGCTTTCATGGGTGAATGCCCACTTCATCAGAGGCAAGTAATGGAAATTTCCAGAGGCAGGTATAAATCAGTATGGAGATAACGAGGTTAGTTCAATCAGGGAGGGTGAGGTGCTCTGCTAGCAGTTGAGGTGTGAACACCAAGGGAGGAGAAACTGCTTCTGTAGTTGGATAGCCATTCACAGTCTTTATTTAATCCTGATCCAATGATGTCAAATTTGCAAATGAACTGGAGCTCAGCAGTTTCTCTTTGGAGTCTGGTCCTGAAGTTTTTTTGCTGTAAGATGGCTACCTTTACATCTGCTATTGTGTGGCCAGGGAGGCTGAAGTGTTCTCCTACAGGTTTTTGTATATTGCCATTCCTGATATCTGACTTGTGTCCATTTATCCTCTTGCATAGTGACTGTCCAGTTTGGCCAATGTACATAGCAGAGGGGCATTGCTGGCACATGATGGCATATATAACATTGGTGGACATGCAGGTGAATGAGCTGGTGATGTTGTAGCTGATCTGGTTAGGTCCTGTGATGGTGTTACTGGTGTAGATATGTGGGCAGAGTTGGCATCGAGGTTTGTTGCATGGGTTGGTTCCTGAGATACAGTTGTTAAGGTGCGGTGCTTTGTTGCTGGTGTTGGTCCTGCCATGAGCAGGGGTTGGACTAGATGACCTCCTGAGGTCTCTTCCAACCATAATATTCTATGATTCTAAGATTCATGCTGAGTAGTACCTTATTATCTACGGAGTCTGATTTCAATGGAATAAAACTCCAGATCCTGTAAGATATCTACCATACTGATCCTGCATTGGTAGGAAGCAGTTTGTAGGACTGGGTGTCTATCACTGTCAAGGCTGCTTCCCCACTCTGAACTTTAGGGTACAAATGTGGGGGCCTGCATGAAACTTCTAAGCTTAACTACCAGCTTAGATCTGGTCTGCTGCCACCACTCCCAACGTGCTAATTCCCTTCCCTGGGTAGCCTTGAGAGACTCTTCACCAATTCCCTGGTGAATACAGATCCAACCCCCTTGGATCTAAAAACAAGGAAAAATCAATCAGGTTCTTAAAAAGAAGGCTTTTAATTAAAGGAAAAGGTAAAAATCATCTCTGTAAAATCAGGATGGAAACTAAATTTGCAGGGTAATCAAACTTAGAGTCCAGAGGAATCCCCTCTAGCCTTAGGTTAAAAGTACAGCAAACAGAGATAAACACTCTAGCAAAAAGGTACATTTACAAGTTGAGAAAACAAAGATTAAAAACTAATACACCTTGCCTGGCTGTTTACTTACAAGTTGGAAATATGAGAGACCTTGTTCAGAAAGATTTGGAGAACCTGGATTGATGTCTGGTCCCTCTCAGTCCCAAGACCGAACAACCCCCAAAACAAAACACAAACACAAGCCTTCTTCTCCCCCCCCCCAAGATTTGAAAGTATCTTGTCCCCTTATTGGTCCTTTGGATCAGGTGTCAGCCAGGTTACCTCAGCTTTTTAACACTTTACAGGGAAAAGGATTTTGGAGTCTCTGGTCAGGAGGGACTTTATAGTATGGTACACTGGAGGGCTGTTACCCTTCCCTTTATAGTTATGACACGCACCCCAAATCACAGATAGTGTTGGACAGCCGGTTCCACACTGGATGTGATTTCTTGCTGGAGCTCTAGGAGAAAACAGAGTTAATAAGACACATGCACCTTTAGACATACTACTGATTATATAAAAACTAACAATATGTTCCACATTCCAAGAACAATGTTAAACCAGTTGAATCTGGGAAACTTTCCCAGGACAGTGCATCAGCCACTTTGTTAGAAGCCCCTGAAATGTGTTGTATTTCAAAATCAAAATCTTGGAGAGCTAAACTCCACCGAAGAATTTTGTTATTCCCCTTGGCGGTATGAAGCCACTGTAGCGCAGCATGGTCTGTTTGTAGTTGGAAACGCCGTCCCCAAACATATGGGCATAGCATTTCCAGCGCGTACACAATGGCATAGCATTCCTTTTCGCTGATTGACCAGTGGCTTTCCCTCTCAGACAGTTTCTTGCTGAGAAACACGACAGGATGGAATTCTTGATCCAGTCCTTCCTGCATTAAAACTGCTCCCACGCCCTGCTCGGATGCATCTGTGGTTACTAGGAATGGTTTGTCAAAGTCTGGGGCCCTTAGCACAGGGTCAGACATGAGTGTCGCCTTAAGCTAGTTAAAGGCCTTTTGACCCTCATCAGTCCACTGAACTGCATTTGGCTGTTATTTTTTTTCTGGTTAGGTCTGTCAGCAGGGCGGTGATTTGGCTGTAGTGTGGTACAAATCGCCTATGATATCCAGCCAAGCCTAAGAAGGATTGGACCTGTTTCTTTGACTTTGAAACCGGCCACTTTTGGATAGCATCCACTTTGGCCTGTAGGGGATTTATAGTTCCTTGACCCACCTGGTGCCCCAGGTAAGTCACTCTGTTTTGGCCTATTTGACACTTTTTAGCCTTAACAGTTAGTCCTGCCTGCCTGATGCTCTTGAAGACTTTTTCCAGGTGCTCCAATTGTTCTGCCCATGAATCAGAAAAAATTGTCACATCATCGAGGTAGGCAACTGCAGATTCTCCCAATCCCGCTAGAAGACCATCTACAAGTCTTTGGAAGGTGGTGGGTGCATTTCGCAGCCCGGAAGGGAGTACATTGAATTCATACACACCTGCCTGGGTGACGAAGGCTGACCTTTCCTTGGCAGGTTCATCTACTGGTACTTGCCAGTACCCCTTGGTTAAGTCTAAAGTAGAGATGAATTGGGCATGTCCCATTTTCTCCAATAGCTCATTGGTGCTGGGCATTGGATAGTTGTCAGGAGGAGTTACAGCATTTAGCTTACGGTAGTCCACGCAAAAGCGTATTTCCTCATCTGGTTTGGGAACTAGAACCACTGGAGATGGTAGCATGTCCTGGATCTCCCTTTTTATAGTAGTTTGGGCATGAGGTGACTCCCAGTAGGGTGGGGTTCTAATTGGGTGAGCATAACCTGTGTCAATGGAGTGGTATGCCCGTTCGGTCCGTCCTGGGGTGGCTGAGAACATTGGTGCAAAGTTAGTGCACAGCTCCTTGATCTGCTGCCGCTGCAGACGTCCAAGGTTTGCAGAGAGGTTCACCTCTTCCATGCCACCATCCCTTTTTCCTTTGTAGTAGACCCCTTCAGGCCACTCCGTGTCATCTGTTTCCTGGGCTGTAAACTGGAAAATCTTTAATTCTCTGGAATAAAAGGGCTTAAGAGAATTAACATGGTATACCTTAGGCTTTATGGTGGAGGTAGGGGATGCTATGAGATAGTTAACAACTTCTAGGCGCTCCTGGACCGTGAATGGTCCTTCCCACAACGCTTCCATTTCATGGGCCTGGAGCGCCTTTAAGACCATGACTTGGTGTCCTACTTTGAAGAACCGTTCTCTGGAATGTTTATCATACCATAACTTTTGCTCTTCCTGAGCATCCTTTAGGTTTTCTTTAGCAAGGGCTAAAGAGTGTCGGAGGGTGCTTTGTAGGTTGCTTACAAAGTCTAGAATGTTAGTTCCTGGAGAATGCGTAAACCCCTCCCATTGCTGCTTCACCAACTGTAATGGCCCCTTAACCTTGCAGCCATACACATTTTCAAATGGTGAAAACCCTAAACTGGGATGTGGTACAGCCTTGTAAGAAAAAGCATCTGCTGCAACTCTAGGTCCCAATCATTGGGGTGTTCATTTATGAATTTACGTATCATGGCCCCCAAAGTTCCATTAAACCCCTCCACCAGGCCATTGGTTTGATGGTGGTAAGGGCTGGCAACCAAATGATTCACCCTATGAGCTTCCCACAGGTTTTTCATGGTCCTTGCCAGGAAATTAGTTCCTGAATCTGTAAGGATGTCGGCGGGCCAACCTACCCTGGTAAAAATGTCTGCTAATGACTAGCACACACTTTTAGCTATGGTGTTGCTTAAGGGTACTTCTTCCAGCCATCGGGTAGCAAAATCCATAAAAGTCAGTATGTACTGCTTTCCTCTGGATGTCTTCTTTGGGAAAGGA